ACCCGGTGGTGGTCCGCGGCTCCGGTCACGTCACCGTGTAAGGCCCGGAGAAGGGCGAGGGCGGGAGGTGCGGGGCTGGGGTGGGCCCCGTTACTCCATGGGAGTCCCCTTTCGTCGGTGTCCGTCTGGTGTCGGTGGCCTTCGGAAAGAGTAGGCGACCAGGAAGTAAGAACTTGCCTTATTTTCATTTGTTTGGGTCTCCGAAGTGGGGACGGACGCTGTCCTTTCTCCTCCACACACCCCTTTAGCAGGCCGTACAGGCCCGGCGATGTGATGATCCCAGTAGGCATGGGTTTTCATTAGGGTCTGCCCTGCAGGCCACCCTTCAGCTAGCTTCAGGGTGGAAGTACGGGTATTGACAGGGAGCCTCCTTGTTTTCTCGCCCAGTTTTCCTGTGGTTCTCTGTGCCTTTGCACCCGGTGACATGGCTCACAGGCCAGATCTGGGCCGTGTGAGACCCCAGTGACAATTGGCAACGAGGCTCCTGTCGTGTCTATTTCACACATACTCACAGGTCTTCCAGTTCTTCTTCCACAGAGTTAATTTCCGCAGAACTAACGCAAGTTCTTGTAATTGTACGTGATAAAAATATATAGTTGAATACAAATTTAAGATATGCAGAAAGAAGTATGTTTTCGACAAATTAAAAAAAAAATCTACGTGAGGGACATACACTCTGCTCAGGTTACTGAGGGAAAATTGTAGTCCCAAAGTTCCTCCTTGGGGCATGAACTTGGAGCTTCTTAATGTGTTAAGAGTCCCTGTAAGTCCCACTAGTAACATTAAAAGTCTAGTATTAAACCATAAGGAAGGAGAGCTTTCGGAAAGGCCATGACAAATAAAGGAATGTGAAGACTTGAACCAAATAATGAGCTGTCCGGAAGTAGGAAGTTTTGTAATGTTTCTCTGTGAAGTCCACAGTTTTGTACCACCTGATATATTGATACTCTCTCATTTTAGATCTCTTGTTCAAGTCATAGATCAAACTTCCATACTTGTCAGATATCTCTGTACTTCTTCCCCTTTTCAGTAAAACAAAAGGGCCAGCAAGTTGCAGAATGTCTGGAACAGTCTTCTTTATATTTTGGCGAACAGTGAGTGGGATGTGCTGTGAATAACTTAGGGAAACAGTAAGACTTCTCATATAAGTTTGTCAGCAAAATAATTGCATTTCTTACATGATATGACCAGTCATATTGTCGTTTGGGTATACTTATGTAATGCTTTGATTTCTTTGGCACCTGTTAGTTTATATTCAGGTGACTTAACAGGGCACTGCATAATTGCTGTCATAGCACCATGACAGGACAGTGGAATTTATCACCACCATGACTCTTTCTAAGTGTTCTATCATTACCAGCTTGAGAAATATAACCAAATATCATGAATATTAAACTTTTAACATATATCACAGAACTCATAACCTACCATTTGCTTTTATTTTGACTTTTAGGATGTTTTTGCATTGTTTTAAGCCTAAGGAGTATGTAGATGCTTAAAGAAATTATTTCCAAACTTTGTCATGCCATCTTTCCTTCCCACTACATTCCTCATGTCAAAGAAAAGCTAGCAGAATTTTGTCGTTTAAAAAGGCGGTACTGTAGTTGTATTGTTTCCTCTGTTAAGGAGAAGAAAAGCACTTTGTTGGGTAAGTGGAAAATGTAATAGTGGGCAAAGTACTCAGAACCAAATAGGTAATCAGTAAACTTGACTGTAGTTGGCTACTTGGAGAGGCTGATAGGATAGAAAAGAATTATTAGTGGTTTTCAAATTTAGCTGTTCCTTAGAATCCTGAGTGGCTTTAAAAAAGACCCTTGCCTTTGCTCCACCCCAGGCCTGTTGAAGGCCAAGCACTAAATGAGGGTCCTAGACATGGATAATTAAAATAATAAGTAAATAAATAATAGAATCTCACAGGTAAGTCTAATGTGTAGCCAAAGTTGAAAACTATTCCAGGTTATAGGGAGGGATTATCTGCTGTCAGTAAACAGTATGCCTTTCTACCTTGGGAGTTAAATCTCTGATCTTCTCAACAACTTCCTTCTCCTCCCATTTATCTTGGTTCTAGGTCATGGGTTAAAATCTATCTCAGCCACTTCCTGGGTAAATTATTTATTTATGGCCTTTAGTTGAGACGGGGATAGTTAGAGTCCATACCTTTTAAGATTATTAAGGATTAAATGAGATAGTAGTACATGAAAAAAATTTATTGCAGTGTGTGGTACTATGTTCACTAGATACTAGCTTTTATTATTATCCTCCTCAGGTACAGTTTTCCACTTTGAGAAACAGGTATAAAACAGTACTAAGAAATTAGAACTGCCATTGTCAAACATAACAGTGATTGACTTTAGTTTTACTTTTCTATTTCTAAGCAATGTGTATGTGCTTAAATTACTGTGTTTGAAGTATTTTGATGGCAATGAGGATCTTTCTGCCTTGAAAACTTAAGCCTGTTTTGTGGTTCTATAGATAGGTAATGATACACAACTTTTTTTTTTTTTAACATGGCTCTGTTGTACGTAATTCCTAGGTACAGTAGCACACTATGCCAGTGGGTAGTCCAGTTAGCACCTATAAAGTTTTTTAGAATTGGTGCATATGTGTTACTGTAACTGTTGAGCACATTCAGTTTTTCTTGCTTTAAATATAAATGGGAAGAGCTATTAGAACAGTTGTAGTAAGACTGGCTAAATTTATCACTGCCCCTATCACCCCCTTCCCCACCCCACCTTTCTTTTTTTTTTTTTAACTAAGGTGCTGATCAGAGCAGTCTTCCCTTACCAGTTTGAAAGTAACTGACCATATAAACTGAATCATCTGTAATCTAGATCAATCTGGAAGGATATAGATCAATCCATGTTTTTCACAGATGTACCTTTTGAGTAGGTCTTTACAGTTGACTATTTCTACTTTTTTTTTCTACTTTAATATATTACAGTATTACTGTTTACTTTAGAAACTATTGTATTCTCACATGACATGATTGGCATGTCATTGTGGTGATGTGAAAGAGTAAGTTACCTTCCATTCTCTAGGTTAGTCTTTAAGCATAATCAGATTTTTGTGACATAGGATGAAAAATGTCTAATTTGCCTAAAGTCTGCTTTAAAGTGGCTTTTAATACTAATATTTTCTTTTTTTAAAATACAAATGTTTTCATCTTGACTCCAAATCAGTCTTATTTTTTATACTTCTCTTGTGATTGGTATTCTTTTTTGACATTCTTGTGTTTAAGTATACTATTTCCCTTCATTGTTAGATTTCTATGTAGCAATATGGAGAAATCTTGTGCAGAAGCGTATTTTGAGGAAAATTGTATTGGAAGGAAGGAAGATAAATGATAAATTCCTATAATTGCATAATATTTAGGTACATGTAACCTAAAAGGCTTATACTCACGATTCAATTAAAAGTAGATTTCCTTCTTGTTTTTGTGATGACTTCTCAAATATATAAATGATGAGGAAAAAAGTAACTATTAGGTAGTTTTGACCAGATTGGTTAATATTTTAAAATAATAGAGTTCTGTATGCTTCAAAATATATTGATCATTATTGAAGTCTTTCATTTTTCACAATGATAACTTTAAAGGATGTGTCAGTCTAAAAGGTAGAATTTAAAAGTAGTTTTAGGCCAATATTTCCTAGGTAATCTGTCATTATAGCAGACATTATTTACTCCCATCTCCTTTTCCTACCCTTTCTATATCAGAATCAAACTTGAGGCTTTGCTAGAGAATGTATAAACTTTGATTTTTAATTCAAGCCCTGTCATAGAGCCAAGTTATTTTGCTGAGATTTGTTTCTAATGTTATTCTCTTGTAAGTTCACTAAGTTTTACCGTGTCTTCGTGTACTCCCTTCTGAGGTATAATCTTAGCATCTCCACAAATAATTCCTTATCCTTCAATACCATTTTTTTGTCAATGGCTGTTGGAAACCACTCTTTGCTTGTTTCATTCCAGGTATGTTATGGAAAATTTAAAATTTAGAAATCTGACTTGAAAACGTTTGGGATACAGTATGATTTTTGAATAAGAGACATCACAAGAATACCTTAGTGTTTATAGACATATCAAATGGTAGAGTTAATAAAAAAATTGTCTTGAAATGTGTCAGTATTTTAGGACTGCTACTAGATGCTGTGATTAGCAATAAGAGACCTGAACATGATTTGCCAGAAATTGCAGAAACATTTCAATAAAACAATTTTGTTAAACTTCATAATTCCTACATCTTTCTCCCATCCAGCATAATATTTAAGACATATTCTATTTCTAAAGATTAAGCTTTCTGTTTTGGAATTTTTGAAGATCTTATTGATGTATCTTCACAGGCTATAAAGTTCTTGAGGGCAGAGTTTGTGTTTATTGATCTTTCTCTACTACTTAATACAGTGTCTAGAATATTATAGTTCCTATGATATTTTATAAGTGAATGAAGTAATTGTATACATCTTTGGATTTTGTCAGAATTGCCAAAGGAATCACTGTTTACTTCTCTTTCTGCACCTCCTAACAAAGGCAAATAATCGTCTATAATAAATGGCTCCTCTGTTTTTAAAAATGAAATTTGGTAATTGTGAGGAAATTATCAAATTAAGGTAGTTTTTTTTTGTTTTTTTTTTTTTTTTTTTTTATGTGTGTGTGTGTTTTTCTTCAGAGATTTTTGTTTTCTTTTTTTAGAGACAGAGTCTTGCCCTATCACCCAAGCTGGTTGGCAGTGGCCTTGACCTCCTGCCTCTAGTGATCCTCCTTTTTCAGTCTCCCAAGTAGTTAGAACTACAGGTAAATTGCTATGCCTGGATAATTTTTGTTTGTTTGTTTGTTTTTTATAGAGATGGGACTTCACTGTTGCTCAGGCTGGTTTTGAACTCCTGGCTTCAAGTGATCCTCCTGCCTCAGCCTCCACAAATGTTGGGATTGTAATATGAGCCATCATGCGTGTCCTCCTAAGAGATTTTTTTTTTCTTTTCTTTTTTTTTTTTTTTTTTGCAGGGTTAATTCACTGTATTTTTCTTGTATAAAAACCCTATGCTGTAGCCACAGCTGAGTCCTCTGCATGGAGATTCTGGTGTGGGTCTTGACGAGGTGGTCAATGAATTCCTGATAGGGAGACTTGGTAATACAGTCTCCTTCCAGAGACTGGGTGTCAGGTAGCTGTAAGTCTTAGAGATAGCATCAAAGGTGACCTTAGCGAAGTTGCCCAGGGTGGCAGTGCAGCCCCTGGCTGAGGTGTGGCAGTCATTGATACCAGCCATCATGAGCAGCTTCTTGGGCACAGGTACTGAGACGATGCTAGTGCCCCTGGGTGTGGGGATGAGGCATACCAGCACAGAGCCACAGAGGCCTGTCACTTTGCAAGGGACGGTGTGGGGCTTGCCGATCTTGTTCCCCAGTAGCCTCAGCGCACGGCACAGTGGAGAGCTTGGCCAGGATGATGGCCCCACGGATGGCAGTGTCCACCTCCTTGGAACACTTAACACCCAGTCCAACATGGCCATTGTAGTCCCCAATAGCAACAAACGCCTTGAACCTGGTGGGCTGGCCAGCACAGGTCTGCTTCTGTACCGGCATAATCTTCAAAACCTCATCCTTAAGAGAGGCCCCTAGGAAAAATTCAGTGATCTCAGATTCCTTGATGGGCAGAGGGAAGAGATAGGTCTCCTCCAGAGACTTGATCTTCATGTCCTTGACCAAGCGGCCTAACTTAGTGACAGGCATCCAATCCTTATCCTCGGCCTTGCCTCCATGAGCTCCACAGCCTCGTCCTGGCCCATCCACGGTGGTGACCCCGGCCCAGATGCCACTGCTGAAACCTCCGCGGAAGCCACTGCAGTTCCCCATCCCAGGGCCCCCAGGGCCTCCGCCCCCCACCCACCCCCCTGCAGCGGCGTCATTAGCCAATTAGTGTTTTATTGGAGAAGAGGCAAGATTTTTCTTATACCATATGGTTTGAGAGAAAATCAATTTGATTATAGATTTGGACATATCTTTGGTAATATGAAGAAAAAATGCAATGCATTCTAATTGGACCAACTACTAAAACTTCTTAATGCATAGATTTTCTTGAAGAAATTGGAAATCTGATAATTAACTGAGGTTTCAAAGTTTTTACTGTATTCGAATTTGAGAATTTATATGAAATTTTGGTCCAAAGAGTTCAGTGTTGGATTTTTTGCCTACCAAAGGATATGAAATTGGTACTTAAAATTTTATGTGACTGGTTAAGTGGAAAAGAGGGATTAAATGGTGAAAAGTAAATTATATGTAATTATGATGATGCTAAATAGTCAAATACTATTCTAAATAATTTAAATAATAAAGAATAATAGTATTAATTTGAGATCTACTCTTGAATTCCAGCTGGAGTTTATACTTTTAACAGGTCAGAGGCTCAGGATATTAGACCAGCTGTATATTTAGAAAGAAATCTTCCAAATCTCTGTAATAGCTATTTCTGGCTTAAGTTTCTAATCTGCTATAAAGCTATTTGAGATTTTATTCTTAATAAAAATTTTTTTAAATATAACATGTAGCGGCAGATGCTCTTGAGTATCCTTCTAGTGTCTTCTGTGTAGATAGTGTGTGTGTGTGTGTGTGTGTGTGTATGTGTGTGTAACTTTTGACCCAACCAGAATCTTGAGTCTGGAAGGGAAGAGTCTAGGGATTTTTATTTTTGTTAAGAGTGTTAATGTGATTCTGTCAGACATATTTGGAAAGTAATGGGTGGAAAAAGAGTGGTCTTCAATGTCAGGCAAATTGGTTTCAATTCTCAGTCACTTCCTAACTGTAACCATAAGCAAATTAACCTTTCCGAACTTCAGTTTTTTCATCTGCAAAAGAAGGATAATATCCACCTTAGAGTGGATTTTGTGAGAGTCAGAATTTATCTAATGACCTAGATCCATAATGGGCATTCAACAAATTATTACTTATCACATATTTTGATGTTTAACTCTGTATGCATGTTTTTTGGTTAATCTTTACCATTTTGTGGGAAATCAGTCTAAAACGTGATGTATGCTTTTCTGCTTTAAAACAAGATTCTGAGCATAGATCAGGATTATCTAATTGACTAGAGGAATCATTTAATCAAAAGCGGCTATCAGGTTGATACACAGTGATGTCTTAGTGGCCTTGAGAAATGTTGGAGTTTGAGAACCTTCTTTAAATGACACTTTCTTTTAAATTCCATGTATGGGCTATTGCTTTTGGTTTACATTCTTCTCTCTTTGTAATTGATCAGCTGTACTTGGAAATAAAACAACCAACCTTATTAGAACTATATATAAAGTAAGAGAATTTTATTCTGATTGATGAATGTAGATGCTTGGGTTTTACTATTTGGGTTTTACAATATTTATTTTGTTTTCTCAGAGTATTTTTTGTTTAATCTTTGATTATCAGCTGTCCTTATTGAGGTTTCCTGGTAAGTAATTTAATGACTATTTGTTAAATGCCTATTTTTCTGCCAGATATTGCACAAGGCTCTGGGTATATAATTAAACCCAAAATGATACACACATAGTTTCTGCCCTCATGGAGTTTACAGCTAATAGACAAACTTTATCTGATAAAATTGCAGTGAAGAAAATGGATGAGGTCCTGTGATTGAAAATAATGTGGTTAGGGAGAACCTCTCTGAGGAAGCTAACATTTAGGAAGGATGAGAGTCTTGTCAAGAGCCCCTGGATCTGGAGAACAGCAGGTTCCAAGACTCCAAGCCAAAACAAGCTTGACTTGCCTGAGGAACTGAAAGGATACCTCTGTATTAAGGCTAGAATATAGTGAACAAAGGGGATAGTGTCTTGAAATGAGGTTGGAGAGTTCAGTAGGGGCCAGGAAGGATTGTAAAGGGATTAGGATGAAATTTAGAAGGTTATTAAAGCAGCCTCCATAAGACACGATAGTGGCCCCAGCTAAGGTGTTGATCTCTAGATTAAAGGAGTTATTACAATTCTGGGTATAAACCATCAAATTTCACCACTTTTCCTCTGAGATATGGAAATACATAGCAATGGCCACTTTTGCTATCTGATTCCTCAGTTGTGCGTGTATGGTTTCTTTTTTAATTTTAGCTTTGTGTAGGCTGAGGTTAAATAACTGGCTGCCTTTACTGTTCACTGGGAATGATTTTGATGGCATTCCTGCACTTTTTGTTCTGCTGCTGGGGCAGCTAGTATGCCAAGAGAATAGCATGTGCCAGAAGCAGAGAGAGTCTTTCCCACCAGATCATAGATTTTGAAGTGGGAACCCTGGTAAAAGTTTTATCCTTTAGCTTTAAGGTGTATGGTATGTGATAGCCCTCATTACATGATTCATTAGATTTGAGAAAAAATTGTGTTTTTTAAATCTTACATTTAAAACTCAGTTGCATCCACAGGAGCTGAAATGTTCTCACAATGTCCCTGAATAATAATTTCTTCTTCTTCTTTTTTTTTTTTATTTGAGATGGAGTTTCGCTCTATGTTGCCCAGGCTAAAGTGCAATGGCATGATCTCAGCTCACTGCAACCTCCCCTTCCTGGGTTCAAGCAATTCTCCTGCCTCAGCCTTCTGAGTAGCTGGGATTACAGGCATGCACCACCAGGCTGAATTTAGGAAATAAGTGCTCATCTGCATAACCTATGTGTTTAGTTTGAAATTTCTAGTTCATATGCTCATAGGTCTTGTCATATCTGTAGGAAGATAAAAATTCTCTGTACCTATAGATTTGTACAGATTGAATGTCTCAGAATCCAAAATATCCAAAACTAAATTCATAATCTACCCCTCAAATTAGTTTCAGCTGTACCCTTCCATTACTAGTTGGTGGAAGATCAAGGACTCTGTTTGTTTAGATGAAAATCTTTTTGATATGTTCTTGATTTTCCTCTGTCTTTCACTGCATCCATTCTGTCTTGACATCTTGGCTCTGTCTTCAAAGTCTAGCCCTATTGTGCCACTCCATGGCTGGAGTGAGTTGCCAGTCTCCTTTCTGCCTTACACTGAATATATTTTTCTTAAGCCAGGCATAGTGGCATGTGCCTATAATCCCACCTACATGGGAGGTTGAGGTGGAAAGATCACTTGAGCCCAGGAGTTTGAGACTACCCTGGGCAACATAGCAAGAATCCATCTACATTACTAAAAGTGTATGTATTTTTTCTTCCCTTTGCATCTCCTTTTTTACAGTCATCTTGATACATATGCCATAGTGATCTTTTAAAACGTAAGTCAGATCAAGTCTCTTCTCTGTATCAGGCCCTTCAAAGATTCCCCATCTCCTTCAGAGTCCTTTTAATATTCTATAAGACCTTCCCTGATCTGGCCCATCATTACTTGTTTGCTGATCTCAGTTTCTGCTTACTATTGGCTTCAGTTTATTTTGACTTCCAATTATCGATGGCTTTACTACATGTTGACTTCAGTTTAAGCCCTCTCACTGTCTGTCAGCTCTTCATGTTACCATCTATTTGTCTTATGTTCAGATACCTCAAGAGAGAGCTGATTAAATTAATGTTATCTAAGTTAGGCAGGACTGTTGGGCCTTGCCATTCCATGTGCTGCTAACCAGCCCAGGGATTAGCTGTTCTTAAAGCAGATGCCCACTTGTGATCTAATTAGCCAGAGTATAGGGACTTCCTAGTTAGGCATGCAGAGTAACAGGCTACTTTCTCTAGTATACATGGTTTTGACCTGTGTAGTATCTTTTCACATTGTTGTATTATAATTAATTTAATTGTAAGATATTTCCGTTTAAAAAATTTTACTGTTAAAAATATCACTGTGACTCAGAAGAAAAGAAATACTGAACATATATTTTTGGTTGGGAGCGAAACAAGTTGAAGCAGCAGATTCTTACATTTCTGCATTTATAAGGCAAAATTCATTATGAGTTCAAAACATGTCTTAATTTAAAATGATAGTTCATTACTGAATGCCAAGAGACATTGTTAATATGAGGAGATACAAGGAACATAGAAGAAGTTAACTGAAGTAAGAAGGACAGGGGATTATATGGACTTGAACTGTGGAAAAAATAGAAATGCATTCAAGAAAACAATTGATTAGTGAACCCAGATTTCCCTGTTTACTTATCTTAAAACACCTAGTTAGTACCAAATAAAAGATTCAGATAAGAAAACAAAATTATAAAATATTTGTCTGCCGGACAAGGTGGGTGGATCACTTGAGGCCAGGCATTTGAGACCAGCCTGGCAAACATGGTGAAACCCTGTCTCTACTAAAAATATAAAAATTAGCCCGGCATGGTGGCAAGTGCCTGTAATCCCAGCTACTTGGGAAGCTGAGGCAGGAGAATCACTTGAACCTGGGAGGCAGAGGTTACAGTGAACTGAGATCATGCCACTGCACTCCAGTCTGGGCAACAAAGTGAGACTCTGTCTCAAAAAAATAAAATGCTCATCAAGTATTTACTTAGCAGCAACTATGCATTACTGAAAAATAGCTCTTATTTTAAAAAAATATGGTACAAAATATCTTTAATACTCCCTCCCTAAAATAACCACAGAATACTTGATTATTCATTAACATATCTATGCCACTGTAGGTATTTTCTCTTGATACATTTCTGGAAGTAGGATTACTGGATCAAAGGGTAGGAATATTTTTATAAGACCCCCTTTACATGCTATCAGATTGGATTCCTGAAAAGTCTATCAGTTTACAAAGTTTTTGTTCTTTTCAGTTAAATGGTATAAGAACAGTTTTGAATTTTCTTCTTCAACATTTTACTCCATTGAGAAAGATGGTAAAAATGCTGAAGATATATAAATAAATTTAAAAATGAAATGAAAGGAGGGTAAAGAAGTTTATGTTCAATGATATTTCCATGTTATTAATTTGCAAATTTCACTTTTAATGGTTGTTTAATATTCTGTTATATTGAGATACAATAAGTTACTTAACCATTTCTAAAATGTTATAAATAGATATATATTTATATTTGTGAATAAAGATTCAATCAACTTGTTTATGCATAAATTTAATCAACATTTCAGATTATTTTTTAAGTAGTATTAAATTTCTGAAAACAGTGACAAAGGTACAAATATTTTCAATGCCAAATTAATCTGAAGTGGTTATAACAATTTATAGTTCCATTGACAGTGTGTGATATTTTTCCATCTTGACCTTCTTGCCAACACAAAATAGTTTTTAAAATTTAATTTTATTATTCTTTGTAGATAAATGAATTAAGATGCCACCTATTTTAAACCATATTTTAAAAAATTATCCAAGTGCGACTTCTAGCTTTTTGGATTAGTAGAATGTTTGGTTGTTAAGAGTTTGAAGGGGGTTCAGCTCCCTACCCAATGTAGGAATCATTGCTCTTCTTTCAAGTATATCAAATTGTTATTTTATGGGATGAAACTTGGGCTTTCTAATACTCCTGAGCCAATTGTACTTTGTCTTAGAATAAAGGAAATTATTTTTACCACATTTAGAAACTTGTATGTAAACTTGTAGGTACATTTATAATGCTGTCAATTGAAAACAAAACATATATGCCATTTTCATTCTAACAATCTCTGCCTCCTGCCAAACTTAAAAAAAAAACCCCAGAACTTAGGTATGTCAAAATTAAGCAGTTTATGTCAAAAATAAATCATTAGAGG